TTGCCTGGATGCTCTGGAGAAATCACCCCTTTCCTTGCCAAGCAGGAGCCTTTCCCACAGCGCTCCTCACCCCTTCCCATTTAGCATGCAGGTCACAGGTCTGTGATTTCAACTCAGAAGAGAGTTTTTTCGCCTCTTTACAGCCCCGTTGCTGTGCAGGTGTACCTGCCCCCGGGGCCACAGGAAGCACAGGCAGCTGTTTGCTTCAGAAAACTGCAGGCTCAGAACCACGTGATTTCTTTCCTGGCTTATATAAAATGCATCTGTTCATCAACTGACACCATTTCCTGAGCACCTACTCTATGGGAGACACTTTTTCTAGGGACCAAGTAACTATTTCAGATCCTGTCTCCAAGACAGTTATCCATGATGTAAAGCAAGTGCAGGAACAGCCAGCAGGCGGGCCTCGCTGAGTACATGGCCAATGGGGTTGTATGCTGTGCAGAGCCGGCTGTGGCCCAGAGGTCCCCCTGCCCCCTCAGGGCACGATGCGGGGGGGCTTTATCCTGCCTCTAGCTGAGTGCCTCCTGGGCTCCCTGAGACTTGTTCTGTTGTGATGCTAATTTCTCAGATGAGGAACAGGACCATAAGATCAGGGAACCTGCCTGAAGCCACACAGCTAGCAGGGAGCAGAGCCGGACACTCACACCCAGGCCTGCCTCTTTTCAAACCCAACTGTGCTGTTAACCCACTCTGCAGGCAGGGAGTCAGAGTGGGGCTCCAGCACAGGATGTGGGAAGCCATGAGTTTGGTTACAAGGATGGGCCGAAGAGCCCAGTGACCAGATCGTGGAGCAGGTCAGGATTGAACCAGCGGCAAGGCGACTTGACGTTGAGCCGCTGAATGCATCAAACTTCAGGAGCTTCTTAAACAGCAGGAATGGGCTCTTCCAGGGCCCAGGCAGCTCCAGCCTCTCCTTCCAGGGAGTAGTGGGGTGTCAGACAAGGACCCCCAGTGGGAGGGACTCCCTTCCCTCCCACTCCCCTCCCCTCCCTTTCCCTTCCTTGACAGGGTCTCACTATGTTGCCCAGGCATGCACTTTCTTTCTTCGTTTCTTTCCTTCTTTTCTTCCTTTCTTCCCTCCCTCCTTCTCTCCCTCCCTCTCTCCCTCTGTCTCTTTCTCCCTCCCTCCCTCCTCTCTCTCTCCTTTCTTTCTTTCCTTCTTTTCTTCCTTTCTTCCTCCCCTCCTTCTCTCCCTCCCTCCTTCTCTCCTTCCCTCCCTCTCTCCCTCTGTCTCTTTCTCCCTCCTTCCCTCCTCTCTCTCTCCTTTCTTTCTTTCTTTCTTTCTCTTTCTTCTTTCTTTCCTTCCTTCTTTCTTTTTCTTTCTTTCCTTTCCCTTCCTTCCTTCCCTCCCTCCCTCCCTCCCTGCCTCCCTGCCCCTGTCTCTCTCTTTCTTTCTTTCTTTCTTTCTTTCTTTCTTTCTTTCTTTCTTTCTTTCTTTCTTTCCTTTCTTTCTTTCTTGCAGACTTACAACTTTGGAAAAGTCCAGCTTTGGAGAATTAGGATAGAGCAGGGAGCGTTCAGATTCCAGACCATCCCTCCAGCAGCAGAAGCACAGCCCGATGGCACTTGCAGTCACTCTGTAGCCAACGCGGAAGCTCTGGCCCCTAGGTGACACTCGTCCGGCTCCTCTATCACTTGTGCCCACAAGAGCCACACCTGCAAACAGGACTGAGTCAGAGCTCAAGGAGCACTGCTGGGAGACGGTCAGCACACCTGCAAACAGGACCGAGTCAGAGCTCAGGGAGCACTGCTGGGAGACGGTCAGCACACCTGCAAACAGGACCGAGTCAGAGCTCAGGGAGCACTGCTGGGAGAGGGTCAGCACACCTGCACACAGGACCGAGTCAGAGCTCAGGGAGCACTGCTGGGAGAGGGTCAGCACACCTGCAATCAGGACCAAGTCAGAGCTCAGGCAGCACTGCTGGGAGAGGGTCAGCACACCTGCAAACAGGACCGAGTCAGAGCTCAGGGAGCACTGCTGGGAGAGGGTCAGCACACCTGCACACAGGACCGAGTCAGAGCTCAGGGAGCACTGCTGGGAGAGGGTCAGCACACCTGCAATCAGGACCAAGTCAGAGCTCAGGCAGCACTGCTGGGAGAGGGTCAGCACACCTGCAAACAGGACCGAGTCAGAGCTCAGGGAGCACTGCTGGGAGAGGGTCAGCACACCTGCAAACAGGACCGAGTCAGAGCTCAGGGAGCACAGCTGGGAGACGGTCAGCACACCTGCAAACAGGACCGAGTCAGAGCTCAGGGAGCACTGCTGGGAGAGGGTCAGCACACCTGCAAACAGGACCGAGTCAGAGCTCAGGGAGCACTGCTGGGAGAGGGTCAGCAAAAAGCAGCAGCTGCACAGGTGGTAGAGCCTCCGCTTGGCCAATGCTGGCCGGCCTGCTGGGGTCAGTGTCCTGGCCCGGCGCCTGCAGGGTAGGGTTGCTTGCACTCCAGCAGGGTCAGGGGACAGCTGCTCGAGGGGCCCAGGGATGCTGAGCCACGCTCCTCCAGGGCACGATAGGGGTTTAATTTCTATAAATAGGTGGCTCTGGGGCAAGGATACTTAACCATAAGCAGTCTTCACACCTCTGTTTTCTGTTATTCCTAAATAGCACTACTGGTACCAAACTTATTCTTGAAACTGCTTTGATGGTGTAACATGTCCACACTTTATATATCTATTTATCTATTTATTTATTTATTTATTTACCTATTTAGAGACAGAGTCTCGCTCTCGCTCTGTCACCCAGGCTGGAGGGCAGTGGCGTGATCTCGGCTCACTGCAAGCTCCGTCTGCCAGGTTCACACCATTCTCCTGCCTCAGCCTCCCAAATAGCTGGGACTATAAGCATCCGCCACCACGCCCGGCTAATTTTTTGTATTTTGAGAGAAGCAGGGTTTCACCGTGTTAGCTAGGATGGTCTCAATCTCCTGACCTCGTGATCCATCTGCCTCAGCCTCCCAAAGTGCTGAGATTACAGGCATGAGCCATGGCACCAGGCCCTGTTTATTTATTTTGAGACAGAGTCTCGCTCTGTTGCCCAGGCTGGAGTGCAGTGGTGCAACCTTGGCTCACTGCAACCTCTGTCTCCTGGGTTCAAGCAATTCTCCCTGCCTTGGCCTCCCGAGTAGCTGGGATTACAGGTGCCCGCCACCACGCCCCGTTAATTTTTGTATTACACTTTAAATTAGGCAACTGATCAAGGCTGTGAAAAGAATGGCTCCGGATCACGAGGTCAGGAAATCGAGACCATCCTGGCTAACACGGTGAAACCCCATCTCTACTAAAAATACAAAAAAAAAAGAAAAAGAAAAAGAAAAGGAAAAGAATGGCCCCATAAGTTCTTCCCACTAAAAATTGAATCTTTACATTGCTAAAATTAAAAATGAATACACATATGAAAAATGAATTTGTATATAGGACTACATTTCAATACGTGAAGAAAAACTCTTAATGAAAATTAGTGAAATGCCCATTTTGTAAAATATCTTTAAAGAAATAGAAGTCTAGGCTTGCACCTGTAACCCCTGAGTTTTGGGAAGCTGAGGTGGGAGGATCACTTAAGGCCAGGTGTTCAAGACTACTCTGGGCAGCATAGTAAAACCTCATCTGTACAAAAAATAAAAAAATCAGCCCAGTACAGTGGCATCTGCCTGTAGTCCCAGGGCTTTGGGAGGCTGAGCCAGGAGGATCCCTTGAGCCCAGGAGTTCAAGGCTACAGTGAGCTATGGTTATACCACTACACTCCAGCCCGAGCAGCAGAGCAAAACCCTGTCTCTAAAATAAAAATACTTTTAAAAAGAGATACAATTGTATTTTGGATATATACGGTCAAGTCTATTTAGAATGTTAGGACATGATATTGGTTATTTAAGTGTAAATGTGTATTTACACAATGTATTTGAGTGCTAAAAATGTCTAGGTCTTTATAAACTGTTATGCTCTATTTGAAACATGCCTTTCTTCCCCCAGTAATCTAGTTGGTGCAACACATTTTCACTACTTTGAGGAATAAGATTGCTAATCAAAGGCAAAATTTTTTGCTAAGTTAGCAGAAATTTCAGTTGAGTGGCTTCCAAATTAATTTTAGGTATTTATAATGTAGTCATTGATGGTTCCTATTTTATTTTGCCCTCTCGAAAACATACAAACTTAGCCAGTTCAGATCTACAGTGGATGGTAGGAAAGGCCATTTTTAGTGAAAATACTTTAAGAAATTATTAGAATCATTTATGGAACCTATGTTACAGATACTTTACCAAAGAAATGGCTGAAAAAATCAAATAAATATGACCCCTGAACTTTTAGGAACTTAAATGAATTTTCTTCTTCCTTTCAAACCCCAATACAGTTGTAGTGTTGGAAATGGGATTGAAGCTAGGAAAAATTGAGGTGATATAGAAGCAGAGACTCCAGTCTTTTTTGTTTGTTTGCTTGTTTGTTTGTTTTGTTACGGAGTCTCACTCTGTTGCCCAAGCTGGAGTGCAGTGGCCCGATCTTGGCTCACTGCAGCCTCCACCTCCTGGGTTCAAGTGATTCTCAGCCTCTTGAATAGCTGGGATTACAGGCATGTGCCACCATGCCCAGCTAATTTTTGTATTTTTAGCAGAGACGGGTTTCACCATGTTGGCCAGGCTGGTCTCAAACTCCTGACCTCAAATGATCAGCCCACCTCAACCTCCCAAAGTGGTGGGATTACAGGCATGAGCCACTGCACCTGGCCAGTTTTTACTATTACAATTTAACAGGTCTTCTACACCTCGAAGCTCAGATAAATTCTACCTGTTTCCACAATGCTTTGAATTATTTCATATTTTACATTCATTCTTCATCTGGAATTTACTTTAATTCCTATGGTATCTTTAGCTTTGTTCTCTTTTCTTTCAAAGATCCTGGAAGTTTTAACTTCGCACCCCGCCTGTTCATCCTCAGCAGCTCCTCTGGGGATTTCGCGGCCACGGAGTTTGTGTACCCTGCCCGAGCCCCGTCTGTGGTCAGTTCCATGCCCTTCCTGCAGGAAGATCTGTACAGCGTGCCCCAGTCGGGTACCGCTTGCAGGCGGCAGCTATGACACACTGCTAAGCAGCTATGACACACCTTCCATGTGCTTCTGCACACCCAGAACATATGCTTATCCTCACCCCTACACCAAAAGGAAGGAGGGTGAAATCAGCCACACATTATAGCATAAGAAACGAGGCTCAGTTACTTAACCCACCCAAAGACGTCAGCTAAGAACAGGTTGAGCACCACAGCGGCAGGCCTGGCATCTCTACTCTTCTCCCAGCCTTGGTCTCAGTCTTGTTGCTGCATGGTCACTGGTCGACTGCCATTGCTCCAGCCATCATGTTTGCATTCAAGACAGAAAGAGAAAGAAGGGTGGTGGAAAAAAGGGAACTTAATAGCCACATCTCTCTCTTTAATCAGATAAAAAAGACGTTTTCCCAGAAATCCCCATCAGACTTCTGCTTTTATCCCATTGGCCAGAGCTTGTCACATGGCCAACCCCAGCTGCAAGGGAGCCTGGGAAAGCAAATGGCAGGGGAGAAGAGTGTTGAGATAACAGCTACATTAGCCAGTGAACGGGGTCTGTCATACCAAGTCTCCACAGCAGAGGCAAGACTCCAGCCCAGGTCTTCTGATCCCAAGGTCAGGGCTGTTTCCACCAGGCCACCACCTCAAGACAGAAACCTCTGTGCCCTCATTCTGGTTGGGAAAGTCACAATAGACTGGGCTTGACAGCCCGTCCCGCCCACCCTCCAGTGAAGCCAAGGTCAGCTGCTTCTCAGTTTGTGTTTGTTGCTTCTCACATTACAAGAGCCTGGAGCTGCAGCCAGGGACCTCACCTTGCACTGAGAGCCCAGGACACCACTGAAAGTTTGACCAGTGCACATGTCATGCTTGGAAAATCTTAGCCATCAGAAAGAGAGGCTGTGCCCACGCCCTTCATCCTGGGGCTCAGGGCGGGTTATCAACCTCCACTGGGCTTCTAAAATGTGGCTTTCACAGAATCCTGAAACACATGCTGGGAAAGGACACATGGTGAGCCGACCAGCAACAGTGAGAGGCGTTTTGCCCCGTGGAGTAAGAGTCAGGCTGACAATTTGAGGAGGAGAAAAAGTTAGGATGAAAAGGCAGTAGAACAATTTTGATTTTTATTTCATTTTATATTTTTTAGAGGCAAGGTCTCACTCTGTCATCCAGGCTGAAGTGCAGTGGTGCAATCATGGCTCACTGCAGCCTCAAACTCCTGGGCTCAAATGATCCTCCCTCCTTAGCTTCCTGAGTAGCTGAGACTACATGCATGCACCACCATACCTGGCTAATTTTTTTTTTTCTTTTTGTAGAGATAGGGTCTCATCATGTTGCCCAGGCTGGTCTTCAACCTCTGGGCTCAAGCAATCCTTCCTCCTCAGCCTCCCAAAGCACTGGGATTACCAGCATGAGCCACCACTCCTGGCCACAGTTTTGATGTTTAAAGCCCATTTCTCTGTAAGAGAACCATGAGCTCACCTCACCGCTAAGCAGTCACGCGCAGGGCAGGAACGCCTCTGACCTGTCTGCCGTGAGATGTGTGCTCCAGTGTTGATTGTGCTCTTTGGAGATACGTGGTGCTAACAGCCCCTTGAGTGGCACATGCATTATCCCTTCCACTCTTAGCACAGTCCTGCCAGTATCCAGAAGGGCCAGGAGCTTGAGCTGGGGCAAAGGGAGGAGGACCTGGAGGACGAGGAATGAAAGAGACTAACTCCTTGACGCCACCTTTCTCTGCCTAGAGGCTTCTCCCAGTTGACCTTTCAAAGGGCTGGGGTGTCCTGGGTTTCTGTTTGCCTCTTTGCCCCTGGTTTGACGGCCAAGGGGGTTTCCCCCATGACACAGCAGCGGGGAGGAACAGCATCCACTAGGTTTGGGGAGGAGTGAGCTGGAAGTGTCCGTGAAGGAGCTCCTGACGGTCGGGGTCTGTCCCTGCCCTCACAGTGCTTTTCCCTGTTGACAATCACCACGAGGTGTACCTCTGGCAAGGCTGGTGGCCCATCGAGAACAAGATCACTGGTTCTGCCCGCATCTGCCCTGCCTCTGACCGGAAGAGCGCGATGGAGACCGTGCTCCAGTACTGCAAAGAAGAGGCCTCGCCAGCAGCTCCCCGGAGCCCTAGACCCTCTTTCTCTTCTGCATGGGTCAGCCAGTGTCTATAAAGCCTGGCAGGTGGTAATGAAACCCATTTTTCCCCCCTTTAATTTTTTTGAGATTTATTAATTTTTAGATTAGTACATTCTCAGCTGCCAGCATGAAGAACAACTAGTTTTTCTCTCTGGTATTATGAGGCCATCTAACATGTTACCCTCAAGGATAAAGGCTATATTGTGGAACGCCCCAGGCAGATTAAAACCCTGTTGTACTCCGGGTTGATCACGCTGAGAGACAAGTTGGCCTCTGCCATGTACATTATCTGCAACCACTACCATGCTGTTGGAGAATGAAAGTCTCCCCCAAATGGTGAATGGCCATTGCCAACCTTTTTATTATTTATTATTATTTTTAGTATTACATCCTAAAAGTAAGTTTGTAGTTTTTCATATACCATCCACATGAAATTTCTGGTCCTTTATGTAAAGTGAAAATACCAGTAATTAATATCACATTTTTATGGTTTCATTGATACTATTAGTTTAACATCACTGAGTATGTGCAATTGATTCTCTTCCTGAAGAACTGTTCAGCAATAAATAACATATGAAACCTTCCACCCAATGTTATAGTAAACGTAGATGTATAAGATGCTGTCGTTCGCTGTCAGCCATATTGGAGTTAATCCCGTGGTAGGAAGGCAGAGGGAAGCCGCTACAGTGAATTCAGGAGGAAGAAAATGCTCCAGCCAGAAGCTGCAGACAGAGAACCTCTCCCTTCCAGGAATACAGAGCGTTTTGTTAGGTTCAAGAAGTGTAGACTCGGGTTGATTATAGGTCACAATTGTAGTCACAGGCATGAAACTAACATCTTATATAAACATTATCCATGTGTTGTTATGAACTACTCGTAACTTGCATTTTAAGCATGAAGTCATGAGTTCTGACAAAGAAGAAAAGATTTCAAGGGAAATCAGTGAAAGACAGGGTCTCCCTTGGGTCTACTGACGTTGTGTTCTGTGTAACTACAGGGAAAAATCTCAAGAAATCACCCCCCAAGTCTTACCTTATCCATGCTGGCCTGGAACCCCTGACATTCACCAATGTATTTCCCAACTGGGAGCACAGAGAGGACATTGCTGAGGTCACGGAGATGGTGAGCACGCTTTCCTGCCCTGTGAAGGTGGCTCTTGCGCCTTTTGGATTGTGGGTTGACTTTACTTTGGGGAGAGCATCCAGTTGCACTGTCAAAGTGGGAAAATATTTTTTATTTTGCAACATGATAACATGTCATAGAATTCGCTTAGGAAGAAGAGAAGTCTAACGGGAAATCAATTGAACTATTTTAGTAATTTTCTACACAGTGTACCCAAATTTTAAAAACTTAAAAGCAAAGGTGAGTTTAATCATGCTGACTATATATGTACATAAAAGCCGCGAACTCTTCATTCTGTTTGCCAAGAACCTGTTGCTTGGCATCGCTTGTCTCCAGTGTCCATGTGATGTGCAACCAAACCTTTATGTTTCAGATGTTAACCTTGTGTAGAGGAGACACAAACAAAATCTGATGAATTAGTGTGTTCAGATAACTGAATGAATGGATGTACTGCGACTCACTTATGAGAAGATATCGCTCAACATCTCATTCATGTTGTCTTTTATGAGACCACCTGGTACTTCCACATTAGCCATTTATCATAACTTCTATCTACTGAAATATATTGTTATCCAGAATGTTTTCCAACCACACAGAAAAGAAGTTACCTATAATGATGTTGAATTTCTTATTGATGAGCTATTAGCATTGCTAGGAATAGCAGTTCTGAGGATTTGTTTTGGTTTGATGGGAGATGGTGTTTTTCCGTTTTGATTTTTTTTTTTTTTTTTTTTTTACCATGTAGGAGAGTTGCTTTGATTGGGGAAATGATCCAAGTGTATTTTGTTGTCTCAAATTTGTGTCTCTGACTGACTAAAATTAGGTTGTTTTACAGCAGGGAAGAAATGTAACCATGTGTGGGAAAACAGGAATGAAGGAAGGTTGAGGAAGAGGAGGTGGTCAACAGGAAGCAGGGAGTCAGTTGGGCATCATGAAGGGTGAGGAGCCTGATAAGCTTCCATTTTTTCTTTTCTCTTCCAGCCCAGGCTGGAGTGCAGTACCACAATCACAGCTCACTGCAGCCTCCACCTTCCAGGCTCAATCAATGCTCCCAGATCAGCCTCCCAAGTAGCTGGGACTACAAGCACACACAATGCCCAGCTAAGTTTGTATTTTCAGTGAGGTTTTGCCATGTTGTTCAGGCTGGTCTTGAACTCCTGGGCTCAAGCCATTTGTTGGCCTCAGCCTTCCAACGTACTAGGATTACAGGCTGGCTTTCCAAAGTGCTAGGATTACACTGTTGGCTTTCTGATACTCTCAGAGAGGCCTGATGGTTGATTTCCTGAGAAAGTAACTCAGATAAGACAAATATAACTTTCTCAAGTTTCAAAACTGGGATAGTCAAATTTTTGATGTTTATTCGAAGAAACCATAAACATCAGTTCTTTGGGACTGTTTAGCCAGTTTCAGAAGGAGGTAACTCACCATTCTCTCTCTGTATTCACTATACATCCTGGGGGTTGGCAACGGGGCTGTTTACTGTTGTGCAGGCCCATGGGATTCCAGCCAGAAAAGAGTCGGGCTTCCCATGCCAGCAAGTTATACAAATAATTAACACTCACCAAGTGCTGATTCTGCACTAGGCATAACTCCAAGCACTTTACACTGATTGTCTCGTTTAATTATCACAACAGTTCATCAAGATCTATCTTCTTCTTATTCCCATTTTACTGGCGTGGGAGCAGAGGCACAGAAACGTGAAGTGACTTTCAGCGAGTAGAAAAGTCAGTACTCAGATGCAGGCAGGATCACTCAAACACCTGCCTTCGTCTCGCTTTTTTTGAGACAAGGGCTTGCTGTGTCACCCAGGCTGGAGTATACTGATGCCATCATGGCTCATTGCAGCCTGGAACTTCCGGGTTAAAACCATCCCCCTGCCTCAGCCCCCTGAGTAGCTGGGACTATAGGTGTGCACTACCATGCCCAGCTGATTTTTGTATTTTTTGTAGAGATGGGGGGTCTCACTATGTTGCCCAGGCTGGTCTCAAACTCCTGGGCTCAAGCAATCTCCTGCCTTGGCCTCCCAAAGTACAGGGATTATAGGCATGAGCCACCATGCCCAGCCCAAAACCTGCCTGTTGACCAGTAGTCCCCCCATATATTTGTGATTTGGGCAACAGCTATTAGTCATGCATTCCCATCATCCACCCACCCAAAAAGAGAGAAGCCAATCTGGGGTCCCAAGTTTAATGGAGGAAGAGAATTTGCCCAGAATAGCTTGTTCAGATTAAATTCACACAATGGTTTAAAAGCAAACTTGATTCTGCTCCAAAATATTCTGGATGCACTTTCTGACCTTCTTTTTCTATTGTGGATTAAGAAGGTGCTGAGGCGGGCGGATCATGAGGTCAGGAGATCGAGACCATCCTGGCCAACATGGTGAAACCCTGTCTCTACTAAAACACAAAAAATTAGCCAGGCGTGGCGGTTCACGCCTGTAGTCCCAGCTACTAAGGCGGCTGAGACAGGGGAATCACTTGAACCTGGGAGGCGGAGATTGCCGAGATCGCGCCACTGCACTCCAGCCTGGCGACAGAGCAAGACTCTGTCTCAAAACAAAGAAAAAACAAGAAAAAAAATAAATGAGGCCGGGGGGGGAGGGGGGGGGGGGGGGGGGGGGGGGGGGGGGGGGGGGGGGGGGGGGGGGGGGGGGGGGGGGGGGGGGGGGGGGAGAAAAAAAAAAAAAAAAAGAAAAGAAAAAAAATAAATGAGGCCGGGGAGGGGAGGAGGGTGTGATTTCTTTTCAGTTTAATTATTTTAAAAATATTTTTAAACAAATTCCATTATTTGGAGGTCTCTGGTGTTTAGACGTAAAATTTACTAATCTTAGTCTGTAATTCACTCATGGTGAACATTTTTCCAGTGGCAGTCCTGAGATAAGATTTGTTTGAAACTCTGTGATAAGTTGAGAAAACATCTAAAAGTCAGAGAAACAAGATTCCATCTCTACAAAATATTTTTAAAGTGTATTAGGCGAGCATGGTGGCATGCATCTGCAGGCCCAGCTACTCAGGAGGCTGAGGTGGGAGGATCACTTGAGCCTAGGAGTTCAAGGCTATGGTGAACTATGATTGCACCACTGCACTCCAGCCTGGTGACAAAACGAGATACTGTCTCTAAAAAATAATAATAATAAAAGGGGGCCAAATGCAGTGGTTCACACCTGTAATCCCAGCGCATTATCAGGCTGAGGTGGGAGGATCACTTGAGGCCAAGAGTTTGAGACCAGCCTGGGCAACAGAGCAAGAGGGGAGGGGAGGGGAGGGGAGCGGAGGGGAGGGAAGGGGAGAGGAAGGGAGGAGGAAGGAAGGAAAGAAGGAAGGAAGGAAGGAAGGAAGGAAGGAAGGAAGGAAGGAAGGAAGGAAGGAAGGAAGGAAGGAGAAAGAAGAAAGAATTAACCGGACATGGTGATGCACATGTGTAGTTCCTACTACTTGGGAGGCTAAGGCAGGAGAACCGCTTAAGTGCAGGAGTTCGAGGCTGCAGCGAGCTGTGATAGTGCCACTGAACTCCAGCCTGGATAACAGAGACCTTGTCTCCAAAATATTTTTTTTATTTAAAATTTAAAAATTAAAAAAATTAAAACTCAAGGCAACTGCAGGGCTTTGGGCAATCCCTTATCTTTCAGAGCCATTTCCTCCTCAGTGGTGTGGAGCCATGCATCCTCAGGCTGTGTGCAGATGGCACAGGGCTGTGTTTGCAAGCACTTAATGAAACAAGTTCAAATGTAGGACACAAGCTCTCCTCTCTGCCCCCTCCTCTTCTCTAGGACACGGAAGTTTCCAATCAGATCACCCTCGTGGAAGACGTCTTAGCCAAGCTCTGTAAAACCATTTATCTGCTGGCCGACCTCCTGGCCAGGCCACTCCCGGAGGGGGTCGATCCTCTGAAGCTTGAGATCTATCTCACCGATGAAGACTTTGAGGTAAGCAGTTCTTCCGGTGGGGTGAGGACGGGAGTAAAACAACACATGCATGCCCGGCTCCTTTCACTGAGCCGCGGGGCGCTTCTCCCAATGTTTCCAGTTTGCACTAGACATGACAAGGAAAGAATACAATGCCCTGCCCTCCTGGAAGCAGGTGAACCTGAAGAAAACAGGAGGCCTGTTCTGAGTGGGGAGACGCCACAGGAACCTCGGAGTCACGTCCAATACCATCACACCAGGGAAATGGATATATATTTTTGGACTGGTGGGGTTTTTTTTGTTTTTTTGTTTTTTGTTTTTTTTTTTTTGAGACGGAGTCTCGCTGTGTCTCCCAGGCTGGAGTGCAGTGGCGTGATCTCGGCTCACTGCAAGCTCCGCCTCCCGGGTTCACGCCATTCTCCCGCCTCAGCCTCCCAAGTAGCTGAGACTACAGGCGCCCGCCACCATGCCCGGCTAGTTTTTTGTATTTTTAGTAGAGACGGGGTTTCACCATGTTAGCCAGGATAGTCTCGATCTCCTGACCTCGTGATCCACCCGCCTCGGCCTCCCAAAGTGCTGGGATTACAGGCTTGAGCCACCGCGCCTGGCCATGGACTGGTGTTTTCCACAAAGTATTTTTCAATCAGAGTTTTCAGAACCTGACATTGTTAAAGATACTACTTGTCTGGGAGTTGTGTATTTTGTAAACGTTCAAGGGAACTATTTGGGAACTTCTTTCCACCATTCAGCAGGTTATCAGAATTAATAAAAGTATGTTATGTGCACTTAAGCCGCAGCTGCTGTAGATAGCACTGCGTTCTTGTTCCAATTAAGCAATGCTTTTTTCTTTTTTCTTTTTTTTTGGAAGCAGTTCTCTTTATAAAGTGTTATTTTGATAGTTTGTGGATTCTAAAATATATGTATACTTATCGAAACACCATAAAAGTCAAGTAAGTATTTAACAAAGCAGTAAGTATTCGTTCACTTTCAAGATTTTTTTTTAATGTCAAAATAATATGAAAAGGTAGATGGAGTTGCTTCTGTTGAATTAGCTCTGCCACCAATGCGTATCTTCATACACGTTTGGAAACGTTTCCTGCAGCATTAGGTATGACTTGTTCTGAGTACTGCTTCCGGTGCTAAAATGAACAAAGAATTTGTACTTAATGGCATGGACTCTGGAGAATCTATGCGAATCAGCCTTTCTACCTTAATATCTCCCCCGAAATGTATAGTGCCTTGTTTGATGTACAGTTTCTATACAGAACAGTTTGCTCTGCGTCTTTGATGATGGTTTGGAACATTACCTACGATTTTACTCTCAAATAGTCAAAATAAAAACATCTCAATTTCTAATACCTCTTATAAACAGTACTCATTATTTTGTGATACAGGACTTTTGTCTTGTGCTTTTGGAAATAATAGCATCAGAATAAACACAATAAACACAACAATTAATTGATGGGTTCATATTCAATTCCAAGCATGTTCCTTTCTGGAAATTTTTTTTTTTTTTGGTAAATGTTAACCTAGCACCAATATTGTATCATTAAATATTAATGGCTATACATTTGAATTTAGTTTAGGGCAAGATTTTATACAAGGTCATAAGATTAAATAAAGAGCTATTTGCCCCGTAAAATTAGTACTCAGTACTATATTGCAGACATATTTTTGCAAATCATCATTCAACAGAAGTTCTTTTCCTTTTGCTTTTTTTTTTTTTTTTTTTGAGATGGAATCACACTTTTGTTGCCCAGACTGGAGTGCAATGGCACCATCTCAGCTCGTTGCAACCTCTGCCTCCCGAGTTCAAGCAATTCTCCTGCCTCAGTCTCCTGAGTAGCTGGAACTACAGATGCCCACCACCACGCTTGGCTAATTTTTTGTATTTTTAGTAGAGACGGGGTTTCACCACGTTGGCCAGACTGGACTCGAACTCCTGACCTCAAGTGATCCACCCTCCTTGGCCTTCCAAAGTTCTGGGATTACAGGCTTGAGCCACTGCACCTAGCCTCAACAGAAGTTCTTTACCCCACAACTCTATCTACATTTCAATTTCAAGATCTCAGTGCCTTAAAAAAAAAAAAGTATGTGGATAAGATGTCTAGAAAACTTAAAAATGAGTTAGAAAACTCTTCACGAGCGTATATGTTCTTAAAATACAAATTCATGGGTTTGAAGGTATTCTGTAGGCCTATTATGAGTTGTTACAGCCCTTCCTTATTCTCTGTTAGCCTAAGTTTAACACATTCCATCACAGCACACTTGCCTGAAACTTCAGAACTTACGTGCCCCACCCTTTCACTGCACCAGGGTGGGGACCTGTAACCTGCTCCTGGTCTCACCACTTTATGATTGTGTAATATTGGGCTATCACTGAACTTCTCTGCCATGATTTCCTTTAAAAAGGAGACACTCCTAGCTATCTCACCTGCATCACAAGATTCCAAGGGAGGATCTAGCGGAAGCTCTTTGAAAATTGCCAAGTGCTAGATACCTAATGGTATTAAGATCATTGTGACGGTAGCTGAAATAGGAAAGCAGGGGGGTTAAGTTAGGGAATGTTGTCACGCACCTAGAAATGATGGATTAAAGCAAAGCAAGGAGAGGAAAAAGGAGAGAGAGAGGTTCAAACTCTATGTCCCATAGATAGCACGCAAAGAGGCGTGGAGAAAAGTCACTAGGGCAACCTGAGGGTCCGAAAGAGAGAGGCAGGGTTGCAACCTCTGCAGCAGGTTCCAGTAATCACCTGGATCCTTAGATACCCAGGACATAGCTCAAGTTGCTACAGGAACTTCCAGTGGAGAGCTGCTGTAATCAATAAACAAGACAGGTGTCCTCATTAATATCCATTAACACCAGATTTTCCCAAAGTGCTTAAAAATCATGAATATCTACTTGTGTTAAACATTGTCCCCCAAAATGTGCTGTCCATTTGCTTCTCTTGGTGAATAAGACACCCCAGCTTGTAGTGCCAGTTTACTTTTTGCCTCTTTTCCTCTGAATTGTTTCCTGCATCTCTTTCCTGCTTATAGAACCAGATTCTATTTTCCTATTTTCCATGTTTTTTTTCTGATCCTTTTCCTTCCATAACTGCAACCTTTGACCTTTGTGCACTGGGAAGCTGAAACATGCAAATTGCTAAACCTTCAAGTCTCAGCCCTTGAATTGACACTGGTGCCTGGGGCTTTTCTCCACAGTCCTCCAAACTCAAACCCCTGCTCTCACTACATGCAGCAGGGGCAGGGAAGTGGGATGTCCTTCATTTGCTGCCCGTGAACGAAGGGACTCATGAGAGGGGTGGATGTTTGGGTTGAGATCGATGTCAGAGGTGCCGCGGGGCAGACGGGATGTTGAGCGTGTTCCGGAGCTTTGGATGAACTGTGCGAATATGAGCCACTTCCAGAGTGGGACAATCGTGCCCCTTTGTTCCCGAATCCGAGGAGGGGAAAGGCTGCTGCGAGCCTGCTTCTTCTCTCCTACTTTACGTTTCCTGCCCCACTCTTAGAATTCCCATTTTGGTAAGAGGAAACGTATTCCAGAAACAGTTCCAGAATTCATTTTGGTCCTTTGGTTTTGTTTTTTTTGATTATAAAATTAGCCGTGTGTGTCCACACAGAGACCTGGACACAGATGTTCATAGTGACATTATTTGTACTAGCCCAGACCTGTAAACAACCCACGTGACTGTCAACTGAGGAACAGAAAAACAAAATGCAGGACCTCCATGCGATGGCGTCCTCCCCGATGGCAAAGAGACAGATATTCCTGCATATACATGATATACAGGTGATACTCACTACGACATGGATACACCTCAAAAGCATTAAATGAAAGAAGCCAGATACAAAAGGCCGCATATTGTTTGATTCTTTTTATTTGAAACTTCCTGAAAAGGCAAATCTGTGCACACAGCAAGATGAGTGGTAGCTGGGGTTGGAGATGGGAGTGGAGGTTGACTGCAAATGGCATGAATGATCTTTTTGGGGCAATGGAAATGTTTTAAAACTGGATTGTGGTGATGGTGGCACAGCTCTATGAAGGATTAAAACTCACTGATGCTGGGCGCAGTGGCTCACTCCTGTAATCCCAGCACTTTAGGAGGCCGCAGCAGGAGGATCGAGCCATGGCCCAGACAGAGAATTTGGCATCATTTTCACAGGCCTTTCTTGATCTCAGATCCAGAGTAAAGCACATATGTTTCAAAACAGGCCTCTGTGCAAATCCTTTCTGAACTAATGTAGCCACTAATAACGGGGGGCCATTACCAAGAAGTCAATCAAGAGTACTGGTGCAATTCCAGGGCAGCGGCTCATGCCTGGAATCCCAGTGCTTTGAGAGGTTGAGGAGGGAGAATCACTTGAGGCCAGGAGTTCAAGATCAGTGTGGGCAACATAGTGAGACCCTGTCTCTACAAAAAATTTAAAAATTAGCTGGGCACGGTAGGGGCATGCCTTTAGTCTCAGCTACTCAGGAGGCTGAGACGGGAGAATCACTTGGGCCCAGGAGGTGGAGGCTGCAGTCAGCTGTGATCCTGCCACTGTACTCCAGCCAGAGCAACAGACCAAGACCCTGTCTCTTAAAAAAAGTACAGTGCTCTATTTTCAGAAATATCAAGGTAATTCAAACGCAAATAACTGAGAATTAACTATATTGGTATGGCATTTGGCCCAAAGAAGCCTTCCTCCTTTTGAAAAGTAAATACGTTGCATTGCATGCATTTGCTCTTCTCCTCAGAGAAAGGATGCTGGGCTGCTTCAGACCTCTGACAATGGATGCACCCCGAGGATTAGATCAGAAAGATGGACCTGCCAGGGAAAAGCGTCCGAGGCTTCTGTTCCTACCATCAGTACCACGGATGCGATGAGAGTGTGGAGCCTGCATGGAAATGCCCCACGGGTTTCACAGTGTCTAAAGCTGACCCTTGGGGACTAATAGAGAAGAAAGATTAACAGACCAGCATCCCTCGTTTCTAATACTGAACTGGCTTCTACTGAGCTTTTGTTGTGCAGCTGGGATTGGAAAGGAAGCCGCAGGAGCAGAAGTGAATGCAAGCTAACAGAAAGGAAGGCAGCGCGGAGGACGCCGCAGCCCCAGCGCCCTCACAGTCTCAGCAGAGCTGTGGGGATTGTTCTTCACATCTGACGCCATGGGGTTCTGGAAGTCTCTTAAGGGATATATTGGAACTGACTTGTATTATTTGGAAATCGACATAAATTGTCTATTATTAAATCTCACTGAATTAAGTCCAACTTTACCATCTGAACACCGTTTTAGCATTCATCGTGCAA